CCTTTCATATTACCTGATGACATATATCATATAGATATAATAACGGATATCATATTATCTACCTTATGCTCTATTTCTTTGTATTCCCTTAGATTATAAATTATGCCGTATTTCTAAACATATATCATTTAATAGTATTTTTATTTAGGTACTAATTTAATCTCTTTACTTAATTCAATTTCATATATTCATTATAATCTTTTCATATAGCTCCATTATACTAATTCTCATAATAAATCATACCACTAGGTACTTGTCCAACTCATGTTTCCATTATGCATATACTGTTACCCATGTTTACCTAGTTCATATCACTTCTTATAAACTCACTTTCATCATATTTTCCTATTATTACATATTTTATCTCATAACCATGTATCCACATAGTCTTATATTTCATTATCATATTACATATATTTGTTCTCCTATGACCCTTAATAAACATCTATTTCTATTTCCCTACATCTCTCGACTTATCTTCTATATTCCTATAATTTCATAACTTATTTTATATCATTTTCCCTTTTTATTCACATAAACCATCTATTTATTTAGTTCAATTTCTCATGACTTCCACAATACTCTTTAATAAAACTTTGTAGCTCTTCACTTTAATACATAAACCATAGTTTCCTTTAATTTATCAATCTTCTCTATATAACTTATGTATCCTTATTTATGCCCTCAAATTCATACTATTCTCTTAGAGTCTCCTAACATTTCTCGTATAATCACTTATACCATATAATATGACTTATACTTGATTATCTTATTCTCTCATGTTCATTTCATTTCTTATGACTCTATCATATAACTTATTCCATGTTCTTCCATTATTACATAATAGAGTCTTACATAAATCATATAGCATATACAAATCATATCATTGTCTTTAGTCATGCATACATACAATCAATGTAATACATATAATCACATATAGTTATAACCAACACATAATCATGTCTATGACTTCATGCATATTACTCTAGAAAATAGACTCATCACAAGTCTTATTTCCATTAAACACTACATGTCACTAGTATGCACTCACCTTGGCCTCACTAGTCAATTTCAATCTCTTATCTTTCCCTTGATCGATCTTACTTGCCAAATGTTCCGGAATTGCTTTACGCGCAGAATCTACATAAATTTACATTTTGAGGCAATCATTAGATACCTACACCTTGTAATTGGATACTAGCAACTTAAACGAACTTATTAAACCAATATTCACATTTTTCCTTTAGGGGGAATTGGTTCCCTACTAAGGGGGTATCGATTCCCTCATGACATTCTGGAAATTTTTATTCGTTTGAAGGGGTATCGGTTCCCCTTGAATGGGTACCGATTCCCCTTGCCCAGAAATCATATTTTTAACTCGAAAATTACTTCATTTCCTCTCAAACACTTCATATATCATCCCCTTTTCATTCTTAACTCTAGTACACATACTTAAACCAATCTATATTCATTTATTTCATCTTAAACCTCAAAATCCTATCTTCCATATGAGATTCAAGAATCATACCAAATTTTCAATGTGTTCTAATTCCAATTCTAACACTTCATACTTCTTAATTAGATTGATGACAAGTCAAATTCATCCATAAAACTTCAACAACCATACCATATCAAAATTTCATCTTAAAACTCATATTGCAAATTCCTTCATAATTCCTTTATCTTATTGTTTAAATCCCATATAAGCTTTCCTTAAGCTTATTTAATACCCAAAGAACCAAAACTAAGCTTAAAACTCAAGAATTAACCAACTGAAATTAAACTTACCTTTGCCATGGAGCATACGGGAAGAGAGGAGGAAGGAAATGACCCAGCTCCAGAACTTTCTTTTCTTCTCACCCTTCCCACATTTATATCACCTTTAAAAGAAAGATAAAAGTCTTTCTGGTCAAATGACCATTTAACCCTTAATTTCCTTTAATAATTACTAATTAACCTTCATCATATATATCCAATAATCATTGAACTATTTCATTCTTATACTTTAGTCACCAAATTCTGAAACTTTACAATTTGGTCACTAACCCGGTATTGCGGATGTTATAAATCCAATATAAATCAGATTGAAAAAAACCAGTAATATAAAAAATCCAGAGCCAAATATATTTTGTAACATAAAATAGAGATAAAAAATCGTGTTTTATTTTAGATAACAATCATACTTTTTAAGATCATAGAAAATGTCTATGTGCATAGAGAACACATTAGATGATCCAATTATTATTTTCAAAGGCACTTGGTAATTATTAGGAGGAAAAACACAAAACTTCTATAAATTGGTTGGATATCAGAAATGAGATCCCTATTAAAAGGGGTTCGATTACTAACGGATTTGATCAGACATTTACAAATTGATACTTCGGGAAAATATAGGAATCAAGTGCAATAGGAATGTATTCTTGAAACTTTATATTAGTATTATTTAAGATCTGAATATAATAGTGATTCCATTACTCAAGCCATCACGTGCATTTTAGTCATTATAATTCCTAAAGAATTTTTAGTAATTTAACCCAATAACGGTAAAATGACCATTTTCAATATTCAGAATTTATATCGAATTATCAGCATTTCGAGTCAAAAAATGAACTAACAGATCCCAACACTACGATACTTGCCAATCATTTGAACTAAGATACTTCACAATCATTCACTTTCTAGTACTGATTGTTTTAGTTGAACCGATTACCTACAAAATCATCGTTAAACATATCTTGAGGAACTGAACAAGTATTCATGTGGTATTTATCTTATTTTTGTATTGCAACAACATCAATAATGACCGACGTGTTGGGTCGTGCTTCATAACATTAAGGGATGCTACAACATATATGCTTATAATTGTTTCTAGAATTATCCAATAGTGTCCACTTATATCTAGGTCATGTGGGTATTTTAGGTCATTTCAATACTCAAGGTTATTTTAGTCATTTTGGAGTTTTAGAGTATTATGGTCATTTCCTTCGATTATGGAATATAGAGTACTTCCGAAAATTTGGTTTTCTGATATTTATTTAGAAATCAGAATATCCAAGTATGTTACGATCTTAAAGTTTATAAATCGATTATCAAGATTTTCTAATCAGATTATGAATTCATTTAGTGAATCTGTATTTCTATCAAGTAAAGAATGAATTCCTTGGTCATTTCTACTATCAGGGGAGACTCAAGTCCATTTTTCATCTCAAGGGTATTTTCATGATTTTACATCATAAGGGTATCTTTGTAATTTCTTATCTAAGTATTTCCGATCAACAGCAGTCAACGGCTCAGCTTGGCTCACTTTTTGTGGCTCAGCTTAAATAGTCCAGATCGGTCCAATTGGTTCAGTTGATTCTTTATAGCCCTCCAGCAGACGACAACGCCCACGTGCGAGGGGTGGCATGTAAGGCGGCCTACGATGGCTGGACGGCCACCAAAAATTCTAGAATCATGATTTTCATGGTTGGAAGCCAGATCATATGCTCGGTTTGCGATGAAAAGCATCGCGGGTGCATTTTTCAAGAACGGTCGAATCATCACCTTTTCCACCCTTCACGGCGACGGTGGCGGTGACCGTACTTCCAATACTAGGATGAATTAAACAACAAGGGGAGAATGATGGTGCCAGGGTGAGGCAAACAGACGTCTACTCAGCGATGAATCGAAATAAATAGTGACGATGAGTGGTTTTTCTAACGAAACTTTAAAACGCTCTCAATGAAAAATGGTGGTGTTTCATGGAGTATGGTCGACCGAGTTTTGTTCGCAAGATGACTACGATCACAACGACGGTGGCGGTGCGTGCCACGGCTGGTAGGAGATACGATTGACGGCTAGGGGAGGGGTCGATGAGCTAAGTAAAAGTTTAAGAATTTATGAGTTTTTTCTTGCTTTAAATGGGGGTTTCCAAATTAGGTCTGGGTAGATTTGACTAAATCAAATTATATATTTTATTCACGAACTGTGTTTGGCCTAGATGGTATAGGCATTGCTTGACTTATTATTAAGACAGGAGTTCAAACTCATAAATGTTTAACATTTTCTTTCTATTTTTTTTACAAGACTTCATATAAAAATAATGGGTAAATTACTCCAAAGCCATTGATTTTTTATAAAATTCAATTTTAGACTATAAACTTTACCCTAAATTCAATTTAATCTTTAAATTTACCAAAATTTCTATTTTTCTTTAAACTCCTAACTTTAATATTTATCAAATAAATAGCCATGTTTTCTGAAATAATTTCTAGCTCCTTAATTGGGGTGTAACACATATGTTCCAAACTCCTCATTTTATGTTAAAAAATTTATTATAGTCTGAGCTGGATGTTAACATGTTAATTGAGATATGATAAAATTTGATCCCAAAATCTCAAACGACTAGCATATCTCAGTCAACGTGTTAACATCAAACTCATCTAATTATCATTTTAAACGAAAAAAAAGAAGAATTTGAATCATATGAATATTTAAGTGATCATTTTGTAATTTTTAGTAATTGAGAGACTTCTAATAATATCATATAGTCGAAGGAACTTTGTGTAACTTTTAATAATTGAGAAATTCAATAAATCAACACCTATGGTTGGAAAAAAATCAAGAGTTTATTTAATCGTTAATTTTTTTTCATTTAATGGCCCGGTTAAATATTAACATGATTAAATAGTAGTATACTATATTTTCCTTTTTTTTTTGTGGTGGGTTTGGGGGGTTAGTCAACGGCCATTGTGTTTTACTTGAGACGCTCCCCTTCTCTTGGAAGTTCACGTCCCTTCCTGGAAATTGTTGCCTCAAGTAACCGCGTTTTATCCTTCCGTTTTCTTTATTTGGCATTCCCATTAGTGCATTATTATCATTACTTAGAAAAAAAAATACTTAGATTCTAAGAAAACAAAACACGTAAACAGTCAATCCCCATAATATGCTGCTTGCGCAGCACAGCACATAAAATGTACAATCAACATTAAGCACCCTCGTTTGTTTTCAAAGTTAAATTGTTCACCAAGCCCCAGCAGCAGGCAGAGCTTATGGGGAAGAAGCTTGACGCTTTGCTTGGACGAGGGTTCAAGCCCTCCAAATTCAAATCAGTCATTAGTGTTGCCATTTCTCGTCTTTCCGTTTTCAAGAACCAGCGTCAGGCTCGCTGCAACCTTGCTCGTTCCGATGTTGTTCAGCTGCTTCAACTCGGCCACCTCGACCGAGCTCTTCTTAGAGTAAGTAGTGTTTTTTTATATGTTTTTGCATTGGTTTTTGGAGCTGAAATTGGGGCGTTTGTTTGTACAGGTTGAGCAGGTGGTGAAGGAACAGAATATGTTGGATGTGTTTGGTATCATAGAAGGGTATTGCAATCTTCTTATCGAAAGAGTTCATCTCATTGAGCAAGAGAGGTTGGTTTCTTCCATCTTTTCCTCTCTCTTTTTTCTTCCTTTCTTTTCAGTTTTCTTGATGTAATCGTGCTTGAGTTATATTTGATTTGTAGAGATTGCCCTGATGAGCTAAAAGAGGCAATATGTGGCTTGCTCTTTGCATCTTCAAGGTGTGGAGATTTTCCCGAGCTTCAAGAGATTCGTGCAATCTTCGTGTCTCGCTATGGCAAGGACTTTGCTGCTGCTGCCATTGAGTTGCGCAACAATTGCAGAGTCAACACGACGGTAAATCTTTATTTCGATATATCTGGAACTCATTGAGTGGTTTTGGTGTGAAGAGGAAATTGTTCTCCCTATAGGACTCGAGTTCAAGCAGTAATGTATACGACTTGAGTTCAAGTAGTTACATTATGTTTGTAGGGTGATGTTTAGTTGAACATAATCTTTGTGTCCCACAGATTATACAAAAACTCTCGACTAGACAACCAGACTTGCAGCGCAGAAGAACCGTGCTCAGCGAGATTGCTGCTGAGAATGGCACTGCCCTACAACTCCATACTAATGTAAGCAATTTGCTACAACAAACAAGAGGATTTGGAAAAAAAAATGTTTTCTTTTCATGTTGATCATACAGCGATAACAAATAAATTGTTAATGATTTTATCAATGCAGGAAAATTTGGAAGGAGGCAAGAATCATAGCCACTCCAAGCTAGAACCATCAGGTAAGGCAACCAACCATGCAGGCCTAGGAGATGACGACTCCTCTTATTCACCAAAAGCGAGGAAAAAGTACAAGGATGTAGGTGATGCCGCTCAAGCAGCCTTCAAGTCAGCTGCGTATGCGGCGGCAGCAGCAAGAGCGGCAGTGGAACTCTCCAGGTCTGATTTCCATGATCCAGATGATCACAACAGTCCCGTTTGTCCAAGAAAAAATGGATTTGACAGACACGAACACAGTTCTAAAGGTGAAGAAACTAATCAAGGCAATCAAGCAGAGGAGTCGAATCAAAGCATGAAGACCTCGAGTCCTCCAAGTAAAGAATCATCAGAAGCAAAGCTGGACATGAGGACAAATGTTCATGGATGAAGTGGACCCGATCAAGCTATTGGAAAAGGAAGTGGTTATTCATGAAAGTGATGATGATGATAACTATGATATGAACGCAAGGGAGCTTAAAGACAAGGATGAAGAGCACTCGGAAAATACAGGACTGATGTTTCAGTACTCATATGATACGCAAGTCCCCTCAAGCCTTCGTGCTGGTTTGAAGCAGGAGACTGGACCTGAAGTCCCCTCGGAACATGTCGGTCCGAGTATTGGGACCAAAGGTAAACGACCCTTCACTATACATAAGGGACCGTTTTCTACGAGGACTAGACAAGTGCGCGGGTACTGAGGAGCATCAGTTCAGTTAAATTCATTTTAAAGCATGGCAGTTTCCATTATAGCATCAGGCGTGTCAATAAGTTTGTTTTCATTTTTAGTTAATTTTCATGAGATTTAAACTTGATTTAAACTATTTTTTTTTTTTGGAATGATTTAATCCTCGTGATCATTGTAAGCCAAGTGAGAGATTTTCCTAATAATCAATAATAATACTAATATACATATGCTCAAATTAAAAACAAAAAAGAATAGGAAGACATAAGGGGATTGTAACATTTTTCAAGTTCACCGTGACACCGCAACATAAACATAGTTATTTTTAGGGAGGAAATCACGCCGTAACGTCCGCAACACCCACAAGCGCAATTTAATACTATATTATAATTTAATACTATATTATGGCATATCTAGGTCTGGGAAAGGTTGCCACCACTTTGCTGCCATACATTGATGATATCAGTGGCCTGATTGAGAAGAATAATAATCTTCTTCTGAGAAATCCATGGCTTGCTTTCAAGAGTGGCTTTGAGGTCTTCCCATGCGTCTTTCCTAGGCCAAAAGAAATATGGACTCAGAGGAACAATGCCGTGACCAGGTATGACTTGATCAAGTGCCAGGCCTATGTTCTTCTCCACCCATATGAATTTCAAAACCAGCCTGGGTTTTTCAACTTGCTTCACCGCAACCTCAGACTTTTGAGGAATTGTGATGGATGGTGTTTCAGTCTCTGAGGATGTTTCAGCTGCTGTGAGTGCTGAAGCAGTTGGTCTATCAGTTTTGAAGGTGGTTGTGATTCTTTTCTTCAAACTGGGATTTGTCTTGAAGCAAATAGTGGTGTTGGAGAGTTCTCGATGATGAAAAGAATGGAAAGTAGTATTGACGGTGGAAGGAGTTGCCATGGACAACATTTTCTATTGGAAGATGGGTGGGACAAAGGGAGTGGGAGAGGAGCTTGTAGCAGTACTAGTCTTAAAAATGTTACTTGGGAAGATAAGGAATATGGGGCAATTGTATTGGTTGAACTTGAAGTATATTATGGACTTTTCAGCATACTTGGGGTTTTATCATTTTTTTATTAAAGTGATTAACAAGGTAGTATATATTTAAAATAGTCTCAACTAATTGACAATAAACAAGGTAGTATATATTAGAAATAGTCTCAACTAATTGACAATAAACAAGGTAGTATATATTGGAAAGTCTCAACTAATGACAATAAACACTCATACATCACGTGCAGACATCGTGATGGGTTCAATTAATTGACAATAAACACTCATACATCATGTACAGATATTGTGCTTGAACCCAATACTCTATGAAAAACACCACTCACTTTAAGCATTGAAGTCACATGCTCCTAATATATGTTTTGATAACCATGACTCTAAATTTTAATTTTATTCATTGGCATTACGGTGGAATCGATACAGCCACAAAGCATTATTCATTGGTTGGTAAACTTGTTGAGTTCTAATAACATTGTACATAAATCCAATAGGCAAGCTGGAAATTTCAATGAGCAACAATTGCACCCAACAGCAAATTGCAAGAACTGTGTAGACGCAACATTATACAGAACGAGCTAATATTGATTACCGTTCAATGTTCTCAACAAATATCCACACTAATCGGAGGATGCAGTGGCTTTAGCATGGAGTAACCAAGGTGATCACATACATATAAATTCCTTATTAAAGTTAGAGATCTAGCTAGACAAGCTTCGGAATCAGATGCATCGTTTTGTTATCCTAACTAGTTTCATCATTCAAAAAAAAAAAACTAGTTGTTTCATGTTTCTTGCTATTGATCTATTTACCAAGATAATGATGATAATAATAATCAGCCAGGAAATTCCAAAGTATGGCTGATTAACTCATAAAGCCTCCTCCAGGCATGTTAGATGGGGCCTGTGATGAAACTTGCCCTTGAGAAGCTAATTGTGACCGGCCTGAACCTTGGACATAACCTGAACCCATTCCTGATCCAACCATTTGTTGTTGCTGAGGCTGCATCTGGCCTAGCTGTGGCTGCTGCTGCTGAAGTTGCTGCAGTTGGGAGAGCTGCTGCTGTTGCTGTTGTTGCTGTTGCTGTTGCTGCTGCTGCTGCTGCTGCAAATGTGGGAGCTGCTGTGGCTGCTGCTGCTGTTGCAGCTGTGGCATCTGTTGCATCTGCTGCTGTTGATGCTGGCTTGATGTTTGTGGTTTGAAGACAACCATATCCTGAATTCCACAAAGAACGTAGTTCAAATAAAATGAAAAGCTCTAGTAAAGTGGACTGGTAACTAAAGAATATTTTACAATCCCATTTGCTGCCTGTTTTTCTTTATTGTCTTTTAATTCAGTTGCGAAAAAGCAAGTAATATTTTTGGATAAGTAAAAATTGAAATTGCATTTTCTTTTTTTGGGGAAACCTAAATTAGTGATGATTCAGGTTTTGGTAATTTGTTAGAAACTGAGGTCTAAAGCTGACAGCAAAAGCAAGAAGCAAATGGAGACCAAAGTCACAGGCTACTAATCTGATTCATAGCTTCTTCAACAAAAAAAATTTCATTTATTTATCTTCTTTGGTTTGTCTGGACAGGGTGGTGGGCTAATAGAGTGTTGCAACAGTGTAAGTTGGGTTTAGTGGAAGGTTTTTATTAACTCCAAAATGTTACGGACAAGGTGGAACAGTGAAAGGTTAGAACTAAAACCTGGATATAATAATTATACTAATAAAGCACACTCAACCGACCAAAGTTCAGACTCAAAAGTCAGAAAATTCTCACCCCGGGAAAAAGCATTCCTATCAAGCGGTAAGCTTTATCAGAAACTGAAAGCAGCAACGTCTGTGATGGCAATTGGATTACAGCACACTGGGCATTAAAAGCATGAAATTGTGTCAGAATTATACGGCAGTAACAATTCTATAATTCAACATTTGCAAATGGTTGATAGGATAATATCTTCAGAAATTTAAAACTCAACACGGATCCTAGAAACACTAAAATGAGATGCTATACAATTTTACTAAGAATCTGATTCTGAGCATAAACTTGCTTATGTGGGAGGGGGCCTACAAGAGTTACAAGACATTCAAATATATATTCTTCATTGCTTCAGAGGAAAATCTATCCTACAACCACTTACAAGCTTCTTCTCTTGCAGCTGTCCGAGAAATCCATGCTGATTCATTGCCCTGAAAACTAAAAAATCCGCCTTCCCAACATATTGCCTGATTTTAAATAAAACAAAATTAATGAGAAAACTGAAGGTGGAAAATGTTTTCACCAACAACAACTTACTTGTTATTCATGTGATCCTGGGATATAAGACGAACTATTTGCATGGTTTGTGGCCAGTGTGCGGCAAGTCTGACAACAAAAACTAAAATCCTCAGGTTCTATAGTTTGATATGCATTAAATGTATGCAAAAAAAATGAGTATGGTAATGCAAGAACCAAAGCCACGCAACAACAGCAAGGCAACCACTAAAAGGAACAAAATGATAGCATTTTTATCAATAATTATTTTCTCATAGAACAAAAAGTTTCAGAATCTACACATTAAACATAGACTTACGTCTCAGAAGCTGAGGCACTCCGATAACCCTGAAACAAATATTTAAAACAAAAACTTTACACATCAAATTAGAGAGGCAAATGAAATGGCTCTGATGTCAGATGGTGATTAACGCAGAGTATACAAGTCATTCATAAAAAAAATCACAAATGAAAATAAGATGAAAAAAAAAAGAAAAAGTGGTATATTTGAAGCAAATTATCATGAGAACATACTTCCAATCTGGTGATGAACACTGGCTGCCCTTGTCTTTGGCCAGATAAATTTCCCTGTATATATTTGACCATTTAGCAATCCCACAACCAAATATACAACAATGAAAAGACAAATAGCACAAGAGATTATATAACACAAAAGTCGTCAATTTAAACATATTTACAAGAGACGATGAAAACAGAAAATCAAGATACACAAGGTGGAAAGCGAAGTCAAAGCATTGCAGGTTTTCCTTTTACCTCTCTTTTCTTTTGTCTATTGATCACTACGTCAAAGTTTACGTAACACTGCCTCAAACACTACATCAGTAAAACTAACAAAACCTCTAATATTATTACTAGTTTAGGTCAAGGCATTGTCTTAACTGAGAAAAAAAAAGGTTATAGAACCTTTCAAGCAAATGAAAAAGCCTGGAATGTTTTCACAGAAGCATCCCAACAACATTTCATTTCCTTCTTTAACAGGCTTCAAAAGTGTCCTATTAAAAAATAAGGCTACTTCAACTTATAAATATCCAATAATCATCACATGTCTTGCAGCAAAAATAAAGCCTCAAGAAAATTATGCTTGTCATTAATGATAATGCCCTTTAGACTTAAGGAGGGATTTAGACTACTATAGCAAAAAACCTATTAACATCAAATCACCAAGACTGATACTATTCTAAGATTGTACACTGCATGTCTTCCTCAGGAAAAATAATAACTCTTAATAAATATATGTTCTATTGGGAGATCCACAATCAAACAAAAATATAAGAACCAAAACTATTAAGTACTTCTAGCACCATATATGTGTAAAATAAATAAAAATAAATAAACTATTAGAGTTTAGAAGGAATTCATATGGCATACTTCAACGTCTACTCATTGCAACTAGATATTTTCAATGAAACATCTTATCTTATTATTAATAATCACGTAGATTACCTCCCAGACTTTAACATATTTGGATTGGGCCGATTGCAAAGCGCTCGATGTCTGTTGTGATAGGGGCATACTCCCAGCTGAACTGTTGTTCACTCCAAGTGTCTGCATTCCAGATGGTACCTGTTGAGACATTCCTGGAGTAGGCATCATTGTGCCAGTTCCAGAAGAAACAGTTGATGGACCAAGACCACTCATGCTCTGGCTCATGCCAACTCCAGTTTGCACTAACTGTGTTCCTGAATGGTTTCCTTGGCTCATGCTGCCAGGTACTGACTGGCTCATACTCACCGTTCCTTGAACATTACCCATTGGTTGTGATATTACAACGTTTGAACTTCCAGTCACATTAGAAGTTGCCGAAGCAAATGAATTAAGACTTGAGTTTGCTGGAACCTGTGTAGTCCCTGTAACAGTTCCTGAACCAGTTAATGAAGTCAAGCCTGATTGCCCAGTTGAAAATACAGTTTGAGCCGGAGGCACAGAGGATGTCATTCCACTAGATATCATATTGGACATATGCATGGCGACGGGAGTTTGACCCATTGATGGAAGTCCAATAGAAGTTCCTCCAGTTAAAGCAGCAGAGTTCATCACCCTTGCTTGTGAAAGATTGTTTAGTATGTTGACGTTTGCAGCAGCTGGAGGCACAGGACGTAAAGGCTGTGTCATACCATTAATGGAAGGTTTTAGTTCTTGCAAATTGTCACTACTTCTAGTCACTTCTTCGGTAGTTGTCAATGGTGACGAAGTTTGCAAGGTTGGGACTGCTTGGAATGGTGCACGTGGAGCAGATGGAATATGTGGAAAAGTAGGTCCACTCGCCATTGATGTTATTGTTGTAGGCTCCTGAAGAATATGATATGATCATGTATCCAGGTAACAACAACAAAAAAACCTTCAAATAACTAAAAGTACAAAAGCCTTACAACTTTTACAGTAGCAGTGGGAACATTTCCCACAGAGACAGGTTGCCGGCTCATAGATCCATTCACTAGAAGCCAAAACGAAAACAAGTCTTAAGCAAGAACTGATCACATAAATGAATAACAAACCTAACTTGTCATAGCTTACATAATCTAATCCTAATTTTTATACATCTATATTGGCTGCACCATTTATGACATGGCATTATTAAAAGAAATGAGATGTACAACAAGGTTACAAATACAGTACAAGTCTTCTGTTTTAAATATTAAGTTA